TTAATGCAATACAGGCTATCCAGCTGTCAGTCACCTGATATATCTCAACCTGATGGGGAAATGACACATGAATGCCTATTATAACATTTATTTTGCTGTATTAAAATTTTGATTATTTTTTTGCTTTCCACTGGCTAAATATGATAGCATAGATTATTTTTCAATCATACATGAATACCCATTGCTACCGTAACTTCTAGTCTCAATGGATACTCAATCCACTAAGTCATAACGTATCAAATGAACTAAACTAAATTGTGTGATATTTCCAGTCTCCTTAGCTACATAATAAAGTACTACAGAGAAATTTGATAATAAAATCCCTCAAGTTCTCTGGTCTCATCACCAACATATACCAGATCTTTTGATTAATTTCATTCCTATATACTCTTTATATTCCTCCTTTTTGTATCTATTTGTGTGCAAAGCCCCCAAAATGTAACCTTTTTGCCTTCATGTTTCTAGGAACTATTTATCTATATTTCTATGTCCATATACAAGTTATTTATATTCTTCTTTCCTCTCATGCTAATATTCACCCCATTACTATATGCGACAAACTCCATGAGACAGTTGAGTATCAGTATTCACAGTAAACAGATGAAGCTATGAACTGGATGAATATGGATCAGAAAAATTACACTTATAGAGTCGAAGGTTGCTGTGACCTTGGGTGAATGGATCTCGTAAGACTGAAGATAAAGGCTGTTATCTGTTCCTATTATTATTCTGTTCCTATTGCCTTCACCCCCATCATTGCCTGACTCCACTTTTACTGTTTTTTCGGGTTGCTGACTAATATCAGCCCTGAGAGAACCTTCATTAACTTACACCTTCCCAGTCTAAGTCTGGTCCCCTACTGCCCACAAGTTCTACTCACCCCATTGACTTCCTGTGTATAGCAGTCACCTGAATTACAGTCACGTGATAATTAATGCAGGTAACCAGACACTGTGCTGGGGGAACCACTAGAGCAATAATTGCTTTTACCCATAAAACTCTATTCTCTGGTGCCTACTGCAGTCCTCTTCAAGCATAGCGTTTGTCCTTATATCTCTTTGTTAAAGAAACCTGGCGTACAGAAAATCAAAAGGCACACTTTCACCAGTACTACTCACATGAGACTTATGCTTTAATTTATTTTTGTAGGATTATAGCTATTTATTCAGCCACTGATAAGCTGATTGAATTGGGCATGAACTCCACCTTAATTTTTATTATTTTTTATGTTTATATTTATTTATTGAATCACTGTGGGAAAAGTTACTAAGCTTTCATGTTTAAGTCTCAGTCATACAATGATCAAACACCTTTCCCTTCACCAGTACTCATTTTTCACCACCAAGAACCCCAGTGTACCCCCCCTCCTACCCCTCCAAATGCCTGTGAGGCAGATGATTTCTACTTAACTCTTCTCTACATTGATTACATTCATTATTTTGACAAAAGATGCATCTTTATTGTTTAGAATTTCCCCCCAAACAATCAGAATCGCTGAAAAGGCATTGTGAAATATTTTGTTATCTATAGCTGGTTATGAGAATCATATAATGTCACGCGGCCACGATTTTAGATTTCTGCAAAGAGCCAGATAATTACGAGATTGGTTTCTGTGTGTCTGGTGTTATGGCCATGCCAGAGAGCCGCTCGTGGGAGTAACTCGTGACCTTGGTAGGGCGTGAAGGACGTACTGGTACCGCCCCCCTTCCCATGAGACTGCAGTTACCCTGTCACTGCTTTCTCGTACCTGGCTTTCCTATATGCTCTGAGGCTGTGGCCACCTTGCTGCCGGGGGGGGGGGGGGGGTAAGAAGGCAGAAGGGAGCAACACCCTTTCTCTCCTGGGGAGGCAGGGCGCCGTAGTTTAATGCATGGTCCATTCACTTTTCTGCCGCATGCTTCCGGGCTCTGAATTAAGTCCTTTTGCCTCTGGAGCCATGGCTGTGCCAGAGAGTCGCTTTTGGGGGCCAACTCGTGACCTCAGTAGGGCATGAAGGACGAGCTGGTACCGCCCCCCTTCCCATGAGACTGCAGTTGCCCCGTCATTGCTGGCTCATACCTGGCTTTCCAATAAGCTCTGAGCCGGCGGCCACCTTGTATGCACTCCAGATGCATTTCTGCCAAAAGTCGCTGGGTTTCAAGATTTGTTTCTGAGTCTCTGGTATCATTGCTATTAATCAGCTTTATCAGGAGTCAGAGAGGCTGTTTGTAGGTGGGGACTCAGGGTCTCGTTTGGATGGGGAAAAAGAGTGGCTCCGTATATCTTGTCACTGCAGACCCAAACCTGAATGTCCAGTGGCCTCTGGTCCAGGCCGCCAGGGGGAACAGGCCAAGGCACGAAACCTATTCCTACCTGGAGTGGCCCAGCACCAGTAACCTACTGCAGGAACAGGACTCATTTCTGCCAAAAGCCTTTGGGTTCTGAGATTCGTTTCTGAGACTCTGGGATCATGGCCATTAAGCAGTTCGATCAGGAACTAGAGAGGCCATGCCTCCAATTATATAGCTGAGCCGGAGGTGGTTTGTGGGTGTGTCTCCCACATACCTAACTCTTGGCTGTTTACTTTCTTGGTAAACTTTGCCCCAAGTTTTTGGGGTCTGGCCAAAGGCACAGCAGCAATTTTGGGGTATCTGAAAGTCTGACGTTGCCATCAGGCTGCTGATGCACTCACCTCACGGGTACAGATTGACCTGCTGGCGGCACCATACCCCCTATGCTATACTTTTAAAGAGAAGAGCAGAAGGGAGAGGAAAAGGGAATAGTTTTTACTACAAGCGGTAACTTGCAAAGGTTGTGAAGAGTGAAGAAAAAGGAAAGATTTGGGCCAGATCTTTTCTCTTGAGTGATTATAATTGCAGTGGAAATTCTGAATCAGCTGATGAATTTGGTTTTGTAAGAACACATGCACATAATGGGAATTAAAACGGGCAGTACTACTATCTGAAACAAGTTGGTATACTTCTTTAAAATAAAACACTTTTAATACATTCCATTATGTTTTAATTTCAATTTTTTCACTACTAAGTGAAAGCTCTATTAAATTGAAGTAGTGTGTGATATTTAAGCAAGAAAGAGCTCAGGACTGTGATCTCTTGTCAGAAACATAAAAATAATCTGAAAGGAGCCCAGATCTTCAACCTGGAAGCTGGGATTAATTTGGTCAGAGCCTAATGGCATCTGTTTTGCTCAGGGAGCCCCCTTAGGCTTGCCTGAACAAATCTAATTTGCTTTTCAGCCAATTTGACCATTAGAAAGCATTTAACATTAGGACAACATCAGTTTCAAAAGGTTTCATCAGGGTGTTAAATATGCTTGTTTCTCCCCTACACTCTCCTCCCTAGTTAGCCTGCAACATTCATTAACAAATACTTGTGCCTTCCAATATGCACAAGACTTCTCCACTCCAGTAGATCATGCCTTTTTAAAAAAATATATTAGAATCTGGAAGTAGTTGCCATCTTTAACATTCAACTCACAGCACTTATACTCAGAGACTTGGGAAATCATCAATTCAATCCAGTCCACTCATTTTAGAGATGAGGATTTTTTTGCCTAGAAGCCTTATTTAGCTTCAATGAGTTCAAAATTCAGATGAGTTTTCCTCTGTCTTCGGAGACAAACTCAGAAATTAAAAATAGAGCACATGTGGGGTAGATTGGAATAACTTTGGGATAGACATAAGAAGGGGAAGCTAAGGCAAAGAGAATGTGCATGGTCAAAATTACCAGCAGATAGTTACCTCTAAGTTTGTGTCTACAGCAAATTGGAAACTGAATTGGAAAAAGGCTTTGAGGCACTACTCATAAAATCTATATTCGCACCCCCAAATTTTCTAATAAAAATAAGGCACAGTGAAAAAAAGTCACAGGCTTTGGGTCAAGAAGTTTAACATTGAGGATCTGGAGAGACAGTACAGCAGGTAAGGTATTTGCCTTTCATGTGACTGACCCAGATTTGATTCCCAGAATCCCATATGGTTCCCTGAGCATTGCCAGGAGTGATTCTTGAGTGCAGAGCCAGGAGTAACCCCTGAGCACTGTTGGGTGTACCCCCAAACAAAAAAAAGTAAAAAGAGAAATTTAACATTCAAATCCTCATCCCACCATTAGTCATAATCTTATGACATACTTTATGATATACCTGATTATGAATTATGAAAGAATATCTGAGTTTAAAAATCTATAAAATTGCTGACAAATTAATAGCTATAGTATAGATCTGCTGTGAGGTTTGAGCAAAATGTTATATATAAATGCTAGTAGCTACACCACCATTTACAGTAGCATTATTCACAGTAGGGAAAATATATGGAAACAACCCGAGTCCATAACCAAGATGACTGGATTAACAAAGTGTAGCATGTTAGTACAATGTAATACTATTTTTTTTAAAGAAAGACATTAAGATATATGTTGAAATATGAAAATATCTGGAAAATATCTGTTTCAGGTCAAACAAACACAAAAGGGAAAATATTGCATAATCCCACTTCTATGAGACTATAGATTATGCAAATTTAAAGAATTAGAAATCAGAATACAGGTGATAGAGGTACAAGGAAATATAAAACTATTATTTAAAAGTAGAGTGTTTCTGTTTGGTATCATAAAATAGTTCTGGAACTGAATGAATGTGGTATTCCTCACAATTGTTGCAGGTATTGTGATGTGTTTAAAACCATTTATTTAGACTTTAAAATGAGAAAAATAGTAAAGTTTTTTTTAACACATTTACTATAATTTAAAAAATAATGAAGACTCAGGTTATCCCTCTAGTGGTAGGTGTGTGTTTGACACCTATGAGGTCCTGGGTTCTATCCCAGAGCTTCTCCCAAACAACCAAAATAAAATAGGGATAATAATAAATTTAGGATGATGTTGATGTAAAATAGAAGAAAGAAATAAACACAACAAAATTTAAATGCCTATAGAATGATTGATGCTGTTAAGTGCACAGCCAGCAAATGGCAGTGAAGTTCCATCCCACTCTGCCCATTTTACCTGTTCTAAGTAATGTAATGACAAGTTGATATATTTGGCTTCTGTAAGCAGCAGCCCCCCAACTCCAGTCTTGGAAACTCGCTCTGAACCAGCCAGGTCAACCAAGTGAAGCTTGGCATGCCGGACAGTGGCACATCCCGGTTCTTTGCTTGATAAGTGAATAGTGAAGATGCAGTGGGAACGGGTTGAAGCTTGGTTCATAGGAGTCTGTAAAGGAGAAATTGCAAACACAAATAATGTGAATAAGGAGAAATTTTAAAGAATATCAATAGATTAAAATGCATACTTTCAATATTAGGACACTTGCCATGAATTCAATGCTGTCAAATGATATAAAAACATTTACAGCCAAGGCCCTGAGGAGGTTCCCAATTGTATTAACTCTTGTAGGACTGATACAGATATGGATGAGATGATCTAAAGAATGAGAGACCAGTTTAAATGAGCTAAAGATGGGGTTGTCTTAATAATAATAATTATTTCATTGTCAGACCACACTTGGTACTTAATCTTGGTTAGGGAGCTCAGAAAGAGAAGGGACCACTAAATAAAGGGTATTGGGAGGATCCTCCCAGAGTGGGAGAAGCATGCTGAAAGACTATAGAACCAAACATGATTGCCACTCATTGCCTCTTTTGCAAACAACAGCACCCAATAGGAGAGAGAGAACAAAAGGGAATGCCCTGCCACAGAGGCAGGGTGAGATGGGGGGGATGGGGGGTAGGAGGGATACTGGGATCTGTAATGGTGGGAAATGGGCACTGGTGGAGGGATGGGTATTTGATCATTGTATAATTGAAACCCAAGCACAAAAATTTGTAAGTCTACAACTGTACCTCATGGTGTCTCACTAATAAAAATTAAAAAAAAAATGAAAATGCTTAATGTGAAGATCATGGGAAAAGGGATGAGAAAAGTACTGAAAGAATCCATGAAACAATTACAGTAACAATTCACAGATAAAGATGCCCAACCTGACTACTATAGCCCCTTATAGAAACCAAGGTCCAAACAAATGTAATAACAGAAGAGATCCAAGTACCATTATGGACAGAAAATTTGTAGTCAATATAGAAAATACAAGGGCATCTATAAATAAACAAAGAAGTTTAGCAGGGTTTCAGGATGTAAGATCAATAGGCAAAAATTAATGACGTTCTAACAAAGTGGCACCAATTATTAAGAAAATCTAGTATTATTCAAAATGGTAAAAACAGGATAAAGTAAGGAAGTAATCTTAAAATGTGTAATTTTTAAATTTAAATGATAAAGTCATAGTAAAAGATTAAAACATGAATACATGGTGATCTGCGTATAAATATGCCATTTTATAAAAATAAATTCACTTATGTTATCTATATATTAAACTATATATTCAGTGCAATTGAAATTAAAATATGGAACAGGAATATTTGTGGAACAAAACAAATTGATTCAAAAAGTTAGGTGAAAGAACAAATGTTAAAAGTTAACAAAATGTTGGGGGGTGGAGTGATAGCACTGCAGGGAGGGCATTTGACCTGCACGCCGCTGACCTGGGTTTGATTCCCAGCATCCCAGATGGTACCCCAAACACCGCCAGGAGTAATTCCTGAGTGCAGAGGCAAGAGTAACCCCTGTGCATTGCTGGTTGTGACCCAAACAGCAAAAAAAATAAAAAAGTTAAGAACAATTCTGTGTTATCTGTTAAGATTTATAATAATGCCAAGGAGTAAAAACAGTGTAGCACTGGCAGAACTAGATGAATAAATCAAATTGTGCTCCTTCAGGAATTCCGTACTAGACAAAGGTCCCAACCATCACTATGGAGAATAGAAGGACTAATTGGTAAATGATTAATGAGCGATCAGTTGCCATCTTAGAAACTAAATTAGAATGCTTTCTCACACTGTGCACAAAAATTCCAGAATATTTTCAAGATATATGTAAAATAATACAACTTTAACACTAGCACAAGAAAATATAGAAGCATATCATGGTGAACTCAATATAGTGATGGGCTCTTTAAAAAATTTGGGGGTCATATCTGGCGTTTTCCAGGAGTACTTTCCATATCAATGCTCAGGGGTTGATTCTAGGGGTGCTTCAGGGAACCATAAAGTGATGGAAAGTTAATCCAGGCCTCCACCATGAAAAGAATATGCTCCAACCCAGCGGTATATTTTTAATTAGTTCTTTTTAATAAGGATTGTGCTGAAACAAAGGAAGAATCAGGTAGTATTGGTGTGATGGCTTAATATTTGTACATAGCAGTGCTAAGACCATCCAACAGTGCTTGGGGTGCTGAGTGGAATGAAGGATGGAACTTAGGGCATCCCACAAACTAGGCATATGCTCTACCACTTAAGTCAGATCCTTAGCAACAGTAGTGGAGACTTTATAAGGCAGAAAGCACAAAGATCAATTGATTTAAAATATTTGACAAAAAATCCAAAATTAAGGAACTTCTGCTTATAAAATATACCATGAAGTTGAGACACTTGGAGGAGGCATTTGCAATATGAATAGCTGTCAAAAGAGAAGCCTTGAAAATAAAGATGTTATAAAAATCAATAAAAAACCAAACAATTCAGAAAAATTAACCTGACTCATAAAATTGTTAATAAGTGTTTGTCAAAAATGCTCAAACTCACAGTCACAAAAATAATTAGCACCATAAAAATTAACTATTTCATTCATACAGATCTGATGTGAAAAATTTTTTTAAAGAAAAGAAAAATCAACATAAGAAGTGTTTGTAATTATGTAAGGAAATGGAGACTTTCATTATGCTTCTGGTGGGAATATAAATTGAGAAGCTTCTTGAGATCAACTTGACAGTAAGTGGTAAAACTGCACATGTGTATAACACCAAACTGCAATACACTGTGAGGTAGATATTTCCTATAGAGAACTCTGAGACAGGCATCCACATACACACAGAGAGATATATAGATATTGACTGTAATGCTGTTTGGGTAAGCAAAAGATTGGAACAAGGTGTCCAATCTAAACAGACACCTGTGGCAGAGAGGATAAGATGGGAATATTTAACCTGTATAAAAGTTAAAATGAAGCACCTTTTTGATTGATTGTCACAGATTTATAAAATCTGCTGAGAAGTTAATAGTACTATAACAATGGTCCTTGAAAGTATATATTAGAAAGACACAGTAAATTAATGATAGTGATTTCCTCTGGAGGGTCATAACAAAAAGGTAATTTCAACATTAGTCACAACATCCTATTTTTTTTACTTAGAGATTATCAGAAGCTAATTCTCTGAATAAAAATACATAAAATTAGTCACAGAATGAACCAAAGTGCTTGTCTAATCTGAAATCTGAATCCTAACTTTAAACTCTGCTGGCACATCACCTTAAAAGTATTTTCTTTAATTTAATTTCTAATTATATCACATGAATTTATAATTTAATATATTAAATTTTAATGATATAATAAAGAACTAGCAAAATGAATGTAAAATATACAATTAGAAATATCTAAAAATATTGCACATTGAATGTCTACATGCATAATTGGGTTCAGATTGCCACCTTTGCAAATTCTTCAGATTGAACTAAAAAATTTCCATATGGATTCACATATATGCATATAGTATAACACACTTGGATGTGATTTAAACCAGGAATTCTTTCTGTAAATAAAAGTTCTTGATATAGACCACTGTTATTGTATGCCAACTAACAAAGTACACAGATGTCAAAACACTGGCATAGTTTTGGTGATGATGATATAGTTAGAGAGTTAAATAGGCTGAAAATTTGACCCATTACTTGTTGCCACAATAACTACACCCAAACCTAGGCAGTGTGTGATTTTGCATGCTAAAGTGGATCAGCAAATAACTGCATGTAAAACCGCAGACTCAAATTTAGAAACTAAGTTGAGGTGTTTTGGAAGTGACTGTAAGTTATTTGCAGAACTTAAACATAGGTTTCTTTTCACTGTTATATTTGCACAACAATATATCGTATAGTACTAAAATAAAAGTTAAATTGACAATTGATATAAATGGCATACAGATTATCTTATCTCATCTAGCTGTCTTTAGCTTCTAAATTGATACACTGAAATGATAATAAAATATGGTAAAGGTAAAGGTAAAGGCCCTCCCGTTGATCGTCGATTTGCTCGAGCGGGCCCAGTAACGTCTCCATTGGAGACTTTGTTGTTACTGTGTCTGGCATATTGAATACTCTCGGTAGCTTGCCGGGCTCTCCGAGAGGGGCAGAGGAATCGAACTCGGGTCGGCCATGTTGGCCGCTTGTAAGGCAAACGCCCTACCCGCTGTGCATCAGTAAATATGTGAGAGTGTTCTGATTTCAGAGGAAAGTGAAATTTACATTAAATAAATTTTAATTCTGGAGTCTGTAATTAAAAAACAATAATATACAGGAGGAATCCATGCCCACAGTTTTGTAACTTCTCATAAATATTTTCTGCATGAAGTAATAGTTGCTGTCTTCCTAGCTAAAATTTTCTGTAACCTCAAAAAACATTCTTTATGTGTAACTGCTCAAATATGATTGAATGTGCTGGTTTCTGTTCTGTGTTTATTTAAGGACGTCTTTATGTCTCATAGGCATGTCCCCACATTTGTCCTTTAAAAGGTAAAATTGTATTAAAACATTTTTGAAACTGCCTAAGAACAGATGGCACCATTTAGGCAGATTCATTCAAATTTAAGTGCACATTTTAAACAAATGTGCTCTTGGCACTAGCTACATTGCCTTGAAAAAATTGTAGTGATGATTAATCATTGCATGCAGAGAGCTTTCACAATTTATATCATCCTATGTACACAGTTCTGCATTAGGCACCAGAGACTAGGAAAAATAAGACATGGGGCCTTGCCCTCAATGAATTTATGATCTAGTACAGAAGCTAAAGACAAAATGTGTGAAATGATAATGAACGATGATAAAAAAGACAAAATACAGTAGTAGAAGTAATAGGTTCTAGGTTATAAGCATCCTTCCCTCCAGGTAAGACTTGTTCATACTCACCAATAGATTTAGAATGCCCCTAATCAGCCTCTGTGTCAAGAAACTCTCCAACTCCCTGTTACTCCATGGTTTCTAAGCCAAACACTCTCTGTTCTTTCTTGAATTTGTCTATTTTTCCGTTAGTGAACCCCTATCTTTCCAGTCCCCAAAAAGGGCAAGTCCCAAGTATGGTCGTCCTATTTCGTCCTCTAAGGAACT